GTTTAAAAAAACCCGCGCCCTCGCCCTTTTATTCATTAAATCTTCCTCGACGACCTTTTTTATATTAAACTTTGCACCGCGACCCATTTAACAAGCGTGTTTACGCCCCGTGCTCCCGCCATTTTAACTTGTCACAAGTAATTGTCGATTTTTCGCTTGGCGGGGGTCGCGGGGGTTTAAACAGGAATTGCAGAAATCAGCCACTACACACATCATCCGCTCTGGTTTTATTTTTTGGGGCTTTTTTGTTGTTTTTTTTTTTTTTTTTTCTTAAGAAATTTAATTGATCGATTGTGGAGGAACGAAGTTCAACTATATTTGTAACTCTAAAGTCCTATTATAAAATAAACAAAATAATTTTCCCAGGAGTCTAAAGCGTAAAAACAAATTCTCGAATTACAGTTAATGATATGACATAAAGAATATTGTAGATTAAGAGTTAAAAGCTAAAGCTTATATTACATAATTACACATTCTCTAATATTTCTCTTTCTCAGTTCATAAATAAAGTCTACAAATGAATGACAAATAATTTCGTAAAATAGAAAACGAAACGACGAGATAATTATATATATCATGATTATGTTTTACATACTAGTGTTGATTTTGCGACTCCGTAAATATTGTAATGCACGGCCATATATTCTGACGTGACGTCATTAACGTTATATAAACATTGCGTTTAGACGCGCTAAATGTAAGCGTTACATTATAGTCTTTATTTGGTGTATGTGAGTTATAGAATATTATATTCATGAAGGTTCATTACTGAATTGAATAAATAATATTTTGCTCGCCAGAGGCTCGCATAATATGATTTTATTTAACTCGTTCAATATCACCTAACCTAATATATAGTGTTGAGAAACAATCTAATAGAGATTAGATAATTGGCATTTAATGATCAGTGTAACAAAGTGTACAGCGTATTTTTTTTTCCCGAAGACACAGAACCGTATACATATTTTCCGGCCAGTTTCATTTAAAAAGAGAATATCACGTGATTTGATTCGATTTATCACGTGACAATAAAAAGTTATTGCGATGATTGTTATAGTGGATAGAAACAAAATAAATTCAATTTTATAAATAGTACATGTACAAAATTTACAAAACATTGACAGGGTGAAAGGAGTGAAATAAATAAAAAATAGGGTTTTTTGCAACCATATGTTGCTGTATTTCACAGATGAATATGTTTTACTGTTAATTTTGTTCACATCATTTCTTTTTAGATACATTCAACTTTTGAATTTATTTTGCTTCTTTTTTCCACATTAAAATGTAATATTGTAGACATAAAGGATCTTCTCAACGGAAAAAAATAATTACGATTACTGGAATTCGCTTTGAGAAAATAAGCTTAAATTGTCATTGATAATTACAATCAATTCAATAATTGCTTGAACATTTATATCAAATAGCGAGGGATTTATTTTCACGAAACTAAGTTAAAGTAATGGTCTTTGTATAAGAACATGTAATGTCAAAATCAATGTTTTACGTGTATATTTATAACAAAAAATCAACAGTAATAAAGTCTCTGTTTTTTACCTATTATGCAATTAGTACAATTGCTGTTAACATAATACTTGTAGTAGACGACACGGTTTTTTTTTGTTACTGTTTATTGATTTGTTTTTTATGCATGTAATAAGATAATTAGAATAATCGATACAAAGTACGGGCAACGTTTGTTCTTGGGTAATTCAATGATCATGACTATAAACAGATATACAAAATAAGGTGAAATGTAAAAATTTGAGGATTTTTGTGGATACGTATAAGTTAAAACATCTTGTTTGTGATACACGTGTTATACCCAACCCAGGCAACATCCCACCCGCTTATCATACTTATCCCCAAAATGAATCCAGATGCATGCCAAATCAAAAGATAAGCTTAAAAGACACAAAAATCTCCCAGGTCAGAAAACACATCAGAGTATATTTCAGGAACGCCACAAAGCTCTTGATCAATCAGGTACAGAATCAGAATGCCTTGATGCTATTTCGGATAGTTCGAACACTCGAATTACACAATATCTATCACACAAGATCATGTTTTCCAAGGAGGAACTTGAGGAAGTTCATGCAGTTCATGTAGATTTACAGGCCGGAAGATCATCAGTTGCACGTCCTTCTCTACCGGTGCTGTGGCTAAAATGCTAGAGAAATTGAAGGTTGATCTTATTCATGAACTAAAAAGATAATTTTAATCAGAAATTGATCATATTGTGAATGCCTTAATGGCAACATTGCAAAATGAGGTCACAGACCGGCGCCAAGAGGTATTACATCTACGAAACTGTATTAAAACTGCAAACCAAAATAACAATGTCCTGAAACAATGTGGTAGGCGAATGATGTTGGATATTTCTAACATACTTAGAGATACGGGATACCCTCAGGAAGATGTTAAGGGTAACATTGTGAAATGTGCCAATAATCAGTTTAACCGCTAGAGTAATTGATAAAGCCCACAGAATAGGTAGATTTGATAAAGGGTTATCCAGGAATAGACCTATGATAGTAAAATTCGTACATTCCAAAGCACGCCAGCGTGAATACACATGTAAGTCAGCACCTGACGGCATTTTCATACAGGAATGCCTATCAAGAAAACGTGAGAAACTTGCAAATTAAGCCAGAAAATTGAAACAGGGAAATCTTCAACAAAAACATGGATAGCAGTAACAGTTATGGGTCTATGCTTATAACCAGCAATTTAGAATAAAAGTAACAATAAAGCCCCTTGAAGCCATCAAAAAAAAGTGAGGGTAATGCACCAAATAACCATGCTCCAATATATCCATAAACAAAACCACTGTATTGTGCTAACTGGGCAAGACTTTGGTTATATTATGTAGACCTCAGTTATAAATATAATATTTTATAGACAATCTATTAATAGCAACTGCGTTCTAAAAAAATAACCTGTATTATTGTCAAACATAAATCAGATTTATTAGTTACATAGATTAAATGTTTAAATTATCATTGATATATAGATGGACATAAAATTTTATATGTACATTATAACATGTCAATAAAATTGTCAAATTCAAAATGTTGCTAAATCGTATGTGACATAAATCGCATAGCACAAGAATTATGTTTTTTTTTTTTTTTTTTTTTTAGTGTTTTGTTTTCTTTTGTTGTTGTTTTTTGATGGTTGTTGTTTTGTTGGGGGTTTTTTTTCGTCAATTTTGTTTGCTGTAATCTGCTTTCGGATAAGAACACTGTGTGTAGTTTCTTTGAAACGAGATACGTTTTTTTACCGGAAATACGATTACGTGTTTAATACAGATTTATTATCAATTCTTTTTAGGGCTATTGTATTTATTTTTAATTGATCTGTTATTATTTTTTCTATAAATCAATAACCAAGCTTGAGGTAGAATATATATTTAAGTCATTGTATATTAAAATCTGTTATGTTCTGTTCATTATATGAAACTGTATTATTCGGTAATGAGATTATTTGGTACCTTTAATGACATAAACAGGTTACTTTTCTAAACATATGATTGGTAATGAATGCTTATGTTTATTTTGCAATGTTTTTTTTTCTTTTCTGTTTCTTGTGTGCTTCCTCGAAGCTTAATTTTTATAGTATAACATAGCGTGTATTATTTTCATATGAAATTATTTAAATGATGTATGTTATCTATCATATTCTTTTATCCATGATTATTGTCATTATACCCTTGACATTTTACCAAAATGTCTTTCTAATTATCATTTTTAAGTTTTATTTTTTTATTTGTTTTGTCTCAGTGTCTTTTTTGTTATTTCGCCGCCGCCAAAACGGTCCAATTATGCATTTATCAAGTGACCCATATTTAGTTGTCCATTTTCTATATGTAGCTAATAATACCTACATGGGTAATGATCTAATGTCATGGTATGCAATTGCCTCACGTGCCTTTAAATAAAAACTTAGCATGTATTTTTGCAAAAATGTTAACATTTATTTCTTTAAGTATCTGTAAGCAAATACTCAATTTTGCAAAACTAACCTCTGGATTCGCTCTTAACCTTCAATTCATTTTTGTCTTTTTTTTAATCACGAGCCTATACATACTATGATCTATAAACATCCAAGTCAATCTAGCGAATATATGTCACTCGACACTTTAAAATTATTATCTATTTCTTATACTGAGTGTATCTATGGATCATTGAGGATAGCCCAGGTCCACTGATTAATCGAGAAAATTGTTTATTTATACTTTCACAAAATATTCGGAGCATTAGAAACACATTTTATTTTATAAATATTGATTATTTAGATATGGATATTTTGTGTTTTACGGAGTTCAAACTTGGCGTATATATACAAGACAATACTTTAAGATTAACATATTTTGGTTTTATATTTAGAAAGGATATATCCAGTTACTGCGGCGGAATTGTGTGCTTGCATTTTTAAGACCTAAACATCTTTTTAATCTAGAACATGTACTTCCTGGATCAGTTTGAATAGAGATGAATTATAAAAAACAGTCATTTCTATTATGTACAATTTATAGACCGTAACACTACAACGTCACATTTTTGGACAAATTGATAGATGTTAAGAAAAAGCTCTTATTACTGTGAAATTTTAAACTAGAATTAACTTGAGCAATACATTACAAAAAACACAGCACTACCATTTACGTTAGTTTGACTTTTTTTCTCTCAAAATTGTGCCTTTCTATAATTGAAACAAAATATTACTATGATAATTCAGTATTTTTGTGTCACTTAAATTAGAAAACTGTTAGCTAATTAAACAAATTAAAACAGACAAACACATATCATAATGTCAAGCTTTAAAGCTACTTTCGATAATGAATTCTCACAGTATTCTAAAATCAATAAAAATTACACCTTACATAACTAGAAATGATTTGTTTCATAGTTAGCAAATACATGATATATTTATATTTCTTCCTTTATTTATATTTATTATATTGGTATTTCATTTCTATTTATATAAATCTATACTCTTACCTGCTCTGTTTGTAGAAGCAGACAGACGGATAGTATCACCCTCGAAACTTTCATATTTCCATGTCCAATAAAAAGCTCAACTTAAACACTTATAAACTTGGTACGGGTATTGCGCAGTGTAACAATATCGGCAAACGCCATATACACTCAACAAATGTCATAAGTGTGCATGTATATATATCTTATAATGTAAGTCAATATTGACCAAGTTGAGAGACATGGAATGATATTCCATTATTCAATTTCATAAGACACACAAACTCAACACACATGTCCAATTAAAGTGCATAAAAAGTAAATGTTGCATAATTATAACACATGCAATCTCTATTCTAAATAAACGTATGCTTACGTTGACTTTGATACCAAGATGGTAGTTTGATTTATCTTGGCCCATTACTGTGCGATGGTCAGGGAAGACTGTTGATATTAGCAAGGGGTTCATTAAAGATCCTGTAACACATTTTTTATGGTTTTATATAAAAAAAATATCATGCTCAATTTAAGATTTATCAATATTGTAAGTTTCAAAAAGAATTATCTATAAAGGTATTACCGAATTTAATATTTCATGTAAAAAAGGAAGATAATCCAATAAGAAATGAATGCATATAATATAATGATTACATTTAATGTGTACAAATATTTGCAATACACATTTAACAAATTCTTCGATGTTTGAAAATTGTTGTATTAGCATAATTATATCCATATATAATTTCACGTAAGTGTGGTATACAGCCTCCGTGGCCGAGTGGTTAAGGTCGCTGACTTGAGATCACAGGTCCCTCAACGCTGTAGGTTCGATCCGCACTCGGGTCGACATCTTTCATGTGAAAAGCCATCCAGCTGGCTTACGGAAGGTCGGTGTTTCTACCTAGGTGCCCGCTCGTGCCTGAAATAGATGCACCTGGAGTCTTCCTCTACCAATAAAAGCTGAAAAAAATCGACGAAAAAATCTCGGCGGGACGCTCTAGGATTGTACGGTCGCCCATATGGGCTTTCTGGCAGCGACATTAAATAAACGCATTAAAAAAAGTATACAGCCTCAACCACAAATCGTACAGAATCTTTAACGGTAATTTCAGCGCCTATAATAACCAATAAGAGCTAAAATAATCAGCTTCGAACCACATTAGTGATATAGCCCTTATCTCTGTATAAAAAAATGTTTTAAGGGCTATATCACTAATACACGCATATTTTGTGATCTATTGATTAAATGTCAAGTTCCTGTGTTCGAACTAAGATTTAATAAATGTCTAAAGAACAAAGTATATAGTTGCAGTTTCTACAGGATGTCTGAGAAGCACACGTCCAGACATTTTTTCTGAACATTAATTAACAACATCAACTAAATAAAGTATCACCAGACTTAAATGTGAAAGAAATAATACAGAAATATGATACAAACGATACGGGCTGAAATGAATCGTCTCATAAGTTTTGGTAAGTTCACAAACCATCGCTTACGAATATAAGAAAATTGTCCAATATTGATAGTCCAATACCCCAGTATGATGAGAAATATTGGGTCACATCCATGCGACAACGCTGCCAGGTTGAAATCAACGGTCAGCATCTACGACATAGACACTTTCAATGAAACTTTTATTTTGGGAAAGTAGTAGCAGCCGGATAGTAAGAGGTTTTAAGTTGTTATATCTGGATTAAGGATTAATGACGTAATTAATCGACTTGAAATTAGGTGTTTATCATGTCTACTTGAGACGTATTTTGTTCTGTAGGTGGTTATTAAGTGCTTTTGAGATGCCAATTTCCTTTTAAAAGTCAAAATTGCGGTAAGCCTTTAAAGTTCTTTTCAAATTAAATTAAATATGGCCATAAACCTTTCAAGTGTTATTTCAAATAAGATTAAAAATGGCGCCTTCTTGGAGAGAGATTTAGGGAATGCAAAAAAATTTCGATACACAGAATACATGACATGTAAAACGATAATAAAAATAATAACAATAATGAGGCATAGTAATTGCAGGAGGCCGTTGCTCGTATACACGGCGGTCTGTGTTATTTGGCAGTAATTATTCGACAACATGCCAGAGTTACTTATTGGCGGAGAAAACCTTTAAGGTTAAAATGGTCAACATTGAAGAAAGATCGACTTTACTGAACACGACTTGCTCAGACATTTTGCCAGAGAGCAGAAGCTTCAGCATTGGCGTGGGGGAAGAGCAACGGGGTGGCTTGTCGACCTCTAGCGACTTCGAGACTTGTGGCAAGAGTCTACCGAAATTCCGCGTGACATTTGTCGATTAGATTTATGCCGACAGTTAATTTTTCGATTCAAAAGGGTCAAATCAACTGTTGATAGCTCTGCCGTTGGGTACGTTCTGCCTGCCTAGCTCCGGACTGAAGTACAGGAAAGCACTACAGACAACGTCTGGGCAAGATTGGACCAGATGAGAACAGTGATGTCGGAAAGAAAACGAAATTGGAGTATGTGGAACGAATCTACAGTGGCTTGTTGCATTCGGCGATCTTTGGCGGGCCCAGGAGACTGCAAAAGGAGCGGACAGAGAGTATATATCACGTGAGCACGAAAGAGGCGATTTCGTTTCTAGAGTCTCAGGACACGTACAGTACAAGCAGGCCCGTTCGTATGCGCTTCAAGGGAAAGAGGATTTTGGTCAGTGGCCTTCTTCAACATGGATCTCTGCGACATGAGAAAATCTCAGACATTATCATAGAGATAGGGGCATCCACTTCCTTTTTACCGTAATAGACGTGTTCAGTAGGTTTGTACTATTCAAGCGGCTGCGCAATAAGTCTGGGAAGGTCGATGCCGAAGCACTGGTGCAGATTTTGACGCTGCCGGTCAGACGGTGACACGGAATTCACGTGCAAGGCAGTGGTCGATCTACTACAGCGACAGGGAGTCAAACAGTAATTTATAGATGCTTAATGACCCCATATACAAGTGGTGTTATTAGAACAGGTCATTCGCTTACGTTATGGTACTGGACGATCTTGTTGATATCTTCAACCAGAGGGTCCACTTTTCACTGTTTGCAGATGAACTCATCCAACGAGGCCAGTCTGTAGAATCTAATGTACGTAGAAAGGAGACAGGGAGCGAGGAACGAAGGACCAAACTTTATAAATACCAGGTGGAAGAACTCTTGAGAATTAGCTTAGGTAAGCGAACGTTTGAATGATCGTACGATGAAAAAAACAAGAATAAAGATCAACAAGGCAAAGGCAATGTTCACAGGACACGGCCCCCGACACACTCAAGTAGGGCACCCAGAAGGAACCAAACAAAAACCTGGAGTGCACATAAGTGTGAAAGGAGTGGGACAAGTAATGTGAAATAATATAAACTAAAACGGGCCCATAAGGGAATTAAAGGGATAAGGGCTGTAAGGGTGAAAAGTTGGGAGGGTAAAAAATGGGAGGGGGAAGTCAGAAAACACCTACCGTCGACGACAATCCAATAAGACAGACATCACAATATATGTAAACATCCAAAACAAGCAACAAAACAGACATGAAAAACACGTGAAGGCACACAGAGGGGTACCGCCTTGGAACGGTCAGTGGTAGTTAAACCACTGGGGAGTTTAAACCGGTTTTAGACGCGCCAAACCACACTCTTAGCCCAAATATGTTCCAGAATGATACGAAAATGTATATGAAATTAATCCCCGCCAAGTGAAAAGTTCACATCGCAAATACAGTGTAACTTCCGAATTTCGGAACTTCTAAAATTCGGAAACTTCTGAAATCCAAACATTTTTAAGGGTCTCTAAATTTCTCCTTCTGTTTTCTATATAATTAGTACCATTGAATTACGGAACTTCTAAATTCTGAATTCCGAACGACTTTCTGGTAAAATTTTGGGTTTAATCAATTAAAATTTACTTCCAAAATCCGGAAATTTCAAAAAGGGGTGAAGGAATATTATACTTGTGAAACCGTTAAAATGTCAATGTCTTCTAAAAAACAGTTACATGAAACCATTTATCTTGACACCTTTTAGAATCACAACCTGTCAACCATGTTAAACAATTGATTAAATTGTGAAAGTAGTAAATTAGTATAATGTGATTTTATTACAGATAAATAGCAGGCAGGTACCACATGAAATGTACTAAAGGATAAATTGTGATAATAAATATTATCCTACTGTTTCAACCAATTCATTTATAGGTGATAATGAAATTTGAAATAGTGTTTTTTAACCTATAACTTTGCTATTTTATAAATTAATGAATTTCATACATTTCTCAAATACACGTAAATATATGTAGCACATACTGTGGCGATCTGTACCCTTTGAATACCGGCAGTGAGTTTAGGGTGATGTTGGGCGAAAAGCAGATATTTAAAGATTGATGATGGTCAGTTGCCCGTGAAAAGTGCACTTGACGTCAATGATCTTAATGGTCAGGAGCTGTACGTTTGCTCTAACGTTTTGGGAATGTAAATTTACCGTAGACACAGTTAAAGATTTGTTTTATAAACGGGCCCCGTACCATGCAGGAGTTAAAGGGCATTTACGTGTACGTATTTAAAAAAACGGACAGAAATTCGAGCTCATATCAGAGTGTGTTGTGGGTGTCGCCTTACATTTTAAGTGCTTCATAATTGTTAAGGGGCAGTGCTTATGTGCTTTCGTACAAAACACTGTCAGCAAAAAGCCGAGCCAGTCTGTGATAGGGCAGAACTGTCTTATTTTTACATGTGAAACGCTTTCAGAAGAGCACAACGAACAGCAACGCTAACCATTAAAGTCACCTTTATATACCGGACTTAATAAAGGCATAGGATCATATTTAACAAGGGAGCTAACACTTCCAGCCTTATGTGTATATAACTAACTGACCATTATTAGATTTTCGAGATGTAGGGTAAATATCACAGTATATGTAATTTTACGGATATTATCTAACAGGTGATTTTGGACTCTATCAACGATACCGAGTATAAACCGTTCGATTTCAGCGATTTGCCACTGTGAGACCTCTTTCAACTCGAACGCAATCTCATAAATGATGTCCACCTTAAGTTTGTGCTTCTACCGAAATAGTCATACAATATTCAACACGTAAATTCTCTAAGTTATTCTTCTAGGTTTTAAAGCAGCATGCCTTCATATTCATGTATATATAATGTATATTAAAATTGAAAAAGAAAAACAAAAACAATACATTTTT